TACTTCTAGGGAGGCTTGCTCTCCCCCTAGACTAGGAGATGGAGGCCCTTGGCAGTGCGCACGGATGGAAATTTGCCTCATCCAAAGAATTCCAACCTGATATGTTAACATGATAGTCTAGCATCAAAAAACTAGCTAATAAACGAATCTGACTTTATTAGAATATTCACCTAGGTCAATTGCACCCTTCTATCGGTTTGCATCGCAATATATCTGAAGATTTTGACCTTAAAACACTTTTGAAAGTAAGAAAGTGTTTTAAGCCCCCGGTTTTCAGAATCTTGGCGCCAAAAAAAAAGTGTTTTAGACCTTAAAACACTTAAGCATTGTAGTTAGGACTACCTAGAAGAGCACCTCTAAAAAGGGTTTATCGAGCCGAGCGAGGCACCGTATATATCTCTAGTATTGTTCGCTAAGAAGCCGGGTGATGGTTAGAGATTCTATATAGACTACCGAAAGCTTAATAATATTACTAAGAAAGATAAGTACCTATTACTACTTATAAAAGAGACGTTAGCCCGACTATAACGCGTAAAGATATTCACGAAACTTAACGTACGGTAAGTATTCTACCGGATACGGATAATAGAGTTAACTAAAGATCTCACCACGTTCCGAACCCGGTATAGCTCCTTTAAATATAAGGTGTTATTATTTAGTTTATATAATAGCCCCGCCTCTTTCTAACGGTTTATTAATAAGGCTCTCTTTAAATATCTAGATAACTTCTATATAGCTTATATAGACGATATTCTAGTCTATTCTACGTGCCCGATAGAGTATAGAGCGCACGTCACTAAAGTGCTAGAAGCGTTAGCTAAAGCTAGCCTATAGGCCGATATTAAGAAGAGCGAGTTCCATATAACTAAGATAAGGTTCCTTAGATTTATTATTAATATAGACGGCCTAGCTATAGATCTAGAGAAAATAGAAGTAGTCCGGAATTAATAACTACTAACGAGCGTTAAAGATATATAATCTTTTATCGGATTCTATAACTTCTACCGGAAGTTCCTCGATAAGTTTGGACGAGTAATACGGCCACTAATAAGCCGTGTTAAGAAAGGAGTACTCTAATAGCCGCTCGGGCTAAGAGAATATAAGGCCTTTAAGAGAGTAAAATAATTAATACTATTAGATTAAGTGATAGCGCATTATAGCCCCTTACTAGAAATTAGGGTCGAATTAGATTATAGCGACGGGGTAATAGCTATAACTATCTTATAGAAGCACGACGACAAGTGGAGGCTTATCGCCTTCTAGACTAAAACGCTCTCGGAGTCTAAATTGAGATACGAGATCCACGATAAGGAGATTGTTACAACGGGAGTCTATACTTATCAAGACAGAACTGGATAAGTCTAGAAACGCGCCTGGCTTCTCACTCAACGTGGTCAACCACAAAGGTAGGTTCGGCAAAGTGATAGGATACGTATAATAAAGGCACTTCAAGTTGTCGATACAACTTGCTGACTCCTTGACTTC